CATAAGAAGGAGGGAAGCCCGGCGTTAGCCGGGCGGCCCGACTGGTGCTTTAGTTAAACATCAAATTTCGCGCGATTTGCTCCACTAAGAAAGAAATGATGAACGAAAAAGCGTAAAATCGTTTGACCAAAGACTTTTGAGCGCATTTGTAGATAGTTCATAAGCACATATAGTTACATTTCATACGTGGAAAGATTATAATAGGTACCATCTTCATACATAGTTAGACAAGTGATGGATGAGCATAAAGAGACGCCTAGTTTTACTTTCTAGCTCTCCTCTACCTCTATCTGGATCTGAAGAAATAGCAAAAGAGCTGGCGAGAACTGGCCGAGAGTGGGTAAATAATATTGTACGATAAAAATCAATCCTGTAGCTCAGAGGAGTACGCGGAACTAATCGTAGGTTCCCTTCAGGAAACTGGCGAAAGAGTATAGCAATGCCGATATCTAGGGAGTAATCGAAGCGCTTACGGTAGCGTGATAGCTGCAAAGGCCTAATGGCACAGTTCACGATAATTTTGAGGTGCCCGTTTGCATTCGAAAAGCGGAAGTATAGATTGGGAATAGTCCATCGGTAGTGAAGAAAGCGAGAGAATTCACCGATTCCGAGAAAAATACGGCTTCTCAAAAGTAGGGAAATTAGAGGTTGGACGAGATTGCCATGACAGAAATAACATGGAAGGGGTATTCGGACGAGATTTCAGTTATTGCAATTGCCCAAAGAGGTGACTACACCAAGCAGGAGCTGTACAGAACTGTCTTTCATTGTCGCTATGAGTCATGACAAGTTGTTGGCCGGTGAAACTCGTCCGAGGATACCCACGGGCCAATCTTTGAGCCTTTATAACTTTCCAACTAGGGCGTTTTCCGACCTAATAGTGTCAGATATGGTATGCGCAGGATCCTCAAATTCATCATGCGGGGGAATCTCAGAAACCATTTTTATCGTGAACTGTGTCTTTAAATAAACGCAATGTGGATGAAATGGAGGGAGTTTGCTTGCATCCTCTGCGATCGACAGTGCTCGAGGGTGCTCAAAGTGAAGTGTGTACATGACACTGGTCGCTGTCATGCTGTCGACGCTCTGTGGCAGTGAGTGCTAGCCTGTGCCTCTCGCTACTTTTCAGAATATATGACTAGTCTCTAGTATATCAAATCGTACGGAAAGTGTTCAACGAATACTTCACAACAGTCCAGATTTTTCTCGAATATTCCTAAAGCTTTCGTGGGCTGCTATGAAAGGCTGCTACTCACTTACATACCCCTAACATATCCAGTTTTTCCTCGCTTTTTCAACCCGACGATGGCCGAATTGTCTCTCCGTATTCGTCCTGCACTTCCTCGCGAGTTCGGATCAGATCACTCAAGTGCTCAAACTGATTGAAAGTTGTGTTTAGTATTTCCCTTGTAGCTTGTCCTTATTCGATGAGACTTTGTGCACACGCCGTTAAGGCGTTTCGAAAAGAGGAACGCAAAGATGTACCTTGATCTGGTGGGCTGAGGGAGGTATCGCATATATATATGCACATACAAAAAAAGTATTATTCTTCTACAATGTTACTGTGGAAAGTTTTAAGACATCCCAAAGAAATTCTGGACTCAATTCTGGCAGATACTTTATGAACACCATAGTAGTTTTATGTTTATGAACACCATAATTGTTTCATAGACAGTCAGCCGTGTTTATGATTGAGAAAATGTGTATCGACTTCAGCTCTGACGACCTTTGCTACCTAATTCAAGCTTTGCATACCCACCAACATCAAGCTACGGAGAAAATAGCTGGATACACTTATATAGGTCTGAAAAAGCTCCACGGAGAAAACCATACTTTTTCAGGGTCATCTTCGATAATTTCAATGCCGAGATTGATCTGAAGAGCTTCACAGCGGAGCTCACGGAATGGACGAGTGAGCAGAGTAAAAGACTGTCAGAGTTTGCCAAGTCGGTCTACACCATACACGATAATTGACAGTCCCACAAGCCCTTTCATTCTCACTGAGCTTGAAAGTTCGAAAGTCACCTGGTGGACAGCTCTGTAATGATAAAAACCACACCTACTGCAAATTATGCCTGACTTCTGCTGTTGTACCGAAAATCTACACGGAATCGGGTCACTATCTCTTCCCCGCTAGATGCTTTTTTCAATGCGTAGGGACAAAGAGCTGCGCGTGATCAAAGTTTATAAGTTGCCTCGAGACGTTTCCTTGAAGGAGACTGCAAGCGTGAGCCGCATGCAATCATCAACTGATGTCCGGAATTGCGAAGCTATTTGAGTGAGCGAATAAAGGGCATTCGAAGTAATGAAGAGCAGCAGTTACGGTCGAGGACGCCGAGACTGAGAAGGGCATTCGTGATGTCCGCCGGAGCTTCGTCAAACACAGAACCACAATGTTTTCCTTCCGTCATGACGGAGCAGTGGCTACATCTCGAAGCGCAACGGAGTGGACATCTAAGACTTGTCCAATTTTTCGACAGCTACGTACACCTGCTCAGCTAGCGTATCAAGGAGGATGACTAAGCCGTTCCTTCCATTCTGCCTTTGGTCCCGACGGGGGACGGTATCCGTGCTATTCGGACTGCGCGCCGCAAATTGCGCGGCGAAGTTCATAACGATTTTGACGACTTTAGTGTCTATTATTGGGGCCCAAAATTCAAGTAGAGTAGATTAGAGTGTTAGCTGACTCTACTTAACTCTTCCATTCCAAGTTTGAGCCCCAATAATAGCGCCACAGTCGTTCGAGTCGCCACGAATTTCGCCGCTCACTTTGCCGCACACAGTTCGAATTGCACAAATGTACATACACCTGGCCCCGACGTAATGGAACGAAAATATCTGGGGAGTGGTTTTCCTGTTATCGTTAAAAGCCTAGCTCGGCTCTTTACGCTTCGTCGAAATGCAAAACCACCGTTTCCGCCCATACTATCGCAAGACTTATCAAGAGAAGGATGTTTCCCAAGTTGAAGAAGGTTCTTCATACATATCAGACAGAAGCGGCAATTCAGGCATTGGGTCACCTGTGTGGTTCTTCTTGCTAGCTAAGGTTGCCTCGTTAGAGCAGCCATTAGCGCCTGATTTCAAAATGCGAATTTTCAGGACAGTATAAGAGTGGTCAAGGTACCTCTCTGAAACTCATAGAAAATAGGTTCAAAGTGGTCGTTGCGATTGATGATGTCGAACGCCTCCCTGTGTCATTTGCCTCTCGGGAGTGGAAGGCGCTTGCATGATCTCAGGAGCTGTATACCCTACCACATATAAACTAAATAGGCGGGATAGGTAGGGTAAACAAAAAAAAACCCCTTTGCATCAAGATCGAAGAAAGTTCGGATGGGCTAGGAAAGTTCTGAAGGCCCTTGAAGGTGATCCTAGAGTGCGGTACCATGAAAATGTAGATGATGGTTGTAGAATCACATCATTGTTGTCTGGGTGTGCGAACGAATTTACGGTCGCACACAATCAAGCTCGCCTCGCACCTAGGCGAAGTGACCTTAATTAGGTGCGAAGACTGCGCTATAATAATGCTGCCCGCACTCGCTACTGATCGAGTTGAAACTTCTCAACTAAAGAGGATAATGACAGTTGGGAAAAATGGAGTTTCTCTTCAAAAAAATGAGTTTTTCAAAAGGAAAAATTTCAATATCAATTTCAACAGTATTGAGTGTTTCATTAATACACATAATAGATGAGCCCAATATATTTCATTTCAAGCTGCTGGAAAATGGGTAAAACAGTTTAGTTCACTTCTTTTTTCGGTATTTTCGCTCATTTGCGATATAATACAACCTTTACAGAAGCGATGAAGTTGTCTAGAGTTGTTTGGGACTACTCTTCATTGAGAGGTCATCGAACGCCCTACGGCTCACCATGCTAGCCATTCCACAGTTTTTACGGCATTTAGCAAGTCTCCAGGCTAAATTCAACACCTTGAGGAGAGGTCATCGGGGATCATTTAACTAATTGGGTGAGTGCTTTAACGACCACTGCTTACTTTATAAGACATTACCATGTATTCTGGAGACACGCTGTACTGTTTCGATGAATTCACAGGGTGTCCTCCCGCTGCAAACTATTTAGGACTGCGTGGTCCATATGGCCAACTTCCTCCACTGTCCTAGCTTTTCACTTTTGCTCCGCAAACCCTAGTACTACAAAATAATTTTTTTCAAAAGTTCTGCGTCTACACAGCCTCCTCCAATGCAGCTGGATCCCGCATCACAACCTTCGCCCCACACGTTTCCTGCACCCCCACAGCCTTCTCCGATGCAGCTGGAAATTCTCTCTTATTACTATTGAATTGAACCGTTTTCTCCCAAATCACACAAACTTTATTCACAAAATATATTTAATTCATTTATTATGTGTGTTAATGAAACACTCAATACTGTTGAAATTGATATTGAAATTTTTCCTTTTAAAAAACTTTTTTTTTGAAGAGAAACTTCATTTTTCCAAACTGTCATTATCCTCTTCAGTTAAGAAGTTTAACTCGATTAGTAGCGAGTGTGGGCAGCGTAATTACCGCGGAGTCTTCGCACCTAATTAAGGTCACTTCGCGCCTAGGTGCGAGGCGAACTTGATTAGGTGCGATCGAAAATTCGTTCCCGTACCCTTGTTGCCTTCATGAGCAACTTACTTACATGGATACTTGGATGCTTGTTGTCGATTGATACTCTTCAGCGGCACACGCTTGCCTCCATTTTTGACGGTCTTGATCGGTTTAGGACCAGTGTTGGCCAATATTTCTCTGAAGTTTCTTCAGTGAGTTACTCCATCTCGTTGCAGGACATCCAAGTCTGCGTTTAACCTTACGTGGAAATGTAGCGAGTGGTCCACCTGTCGTTCGTGCGTCTGGCCATGTGTTCTGCCCATCGTTTCTTTACGTTCCACGCATGCTTTTCGGTGTCACGAATGCCGGACATTGAGCGCTGTCTGCGCTGCGGAGGTTAAGGCTTCTCTGCTTCGCGCGGTTGATCTTCAGCAGCGTCAGCTCCAAAGGTCTTTGTGCGCGAACCAACATTGGTGTTGACATCTTGTTCTCCGCCCACGCTGGGATGCGTAGCAGATGCGGGCAATACCGCAGAGTCGAGAAGCCAGTTCGTATCTTCTTGTCTGGCACGAGGTGAGGCGCTTCTTTTATGTTTCCGACTGACGACCACACGCATCTTCTGCGCCTCGTAATCTCTGCACGCAAGTTGTTGTCAATGGAGATGAGTCGGCTGAGGTGCACTTAGGAGTGTGTGAACGGTAACGTGGCTCCTTTGAGTGTGATGGGTGACGCATCCGCTCATTAGTTTCGCATGACCATTGCCTTGTTTCTGTTTATCGTGAGGCCATTGACTTTGCTGATGTCGTCCAACTCCTCCACCATCTGCTGCAGCTCCTCTCGGTTTAGGCTGAGGACGATTTTGCCTGTGAAGCGCAAGCTGAATAGTTTTTGCCGTCAATGTTGATGCCATTATCGTTCCAGCCCAGTTGCAGCATCGCGTGGTTCAGTGCTGTGGCGAATAGTTTGGGATATATCGTGTCACCCTGCATGACTCCTTTCTTAATCGGCAGTCGCAGCTTTCGTTGAATCATGCAGATGGTGGCAAATGTGTCGTATTACATTGTTCCAGCAGGTTGATGTAGCATGGGTCGACTCCTGCATGGTGCAGTGCGTTCCAGGCAGAGGTGAGCTCCACACTGTCGAATACCTTTGCATAGTCGATAAAGCAGTGGAGTGGTTGTTTGTTTTCCTTGGCCCGCTCTATCAGCTGCGTGATAGTGTGGATATGTTCCATGCAGCAGAGGTCTTTGCCAAAACCGGCTTGTTCAACTGGTTGGTAGTCTTCCAATTGCCTCTCGAGTCTGTTTAGAATAATCTTAGTAAATAGCTTGTACGGCTGCTAGAGAAGCGGACTTTGATGGTAGTTTTCCAGTTGGTCGCGCTCTCCTTTCTTGAAGAGAGAGAACGTATTTGACATCTTCTTCCGAGCATCCAAGTACTTGTTAAAGCTCATGGTTAGCTGCTTGATGATAGTGTAGGACGCCGACTTCGAGAGGTCCACTGAGATGCGATACGGTCCAGGTGCCTTTCTCGTATCTCATCTGACGTATGATGTGTTCTACCTCTCATTCTTCTTAACTCGCAGCCACCTCTTGTGTTGGCGTAGGGATACGGGAAACCGGTACCATCGAGCTGAAGAGGTTCGTGTAGTGGGTGACGGCAATCTCCTCGACCTTCGCTCTCGATGCCTGCGGTCTGCTCATCGCGTCCCTCATAGCGGTGATGATGGATCGAGAGTCGTTAAGGTCGTTACGACATCGCTTGAGGTCCGCTCTCTCCTCTCCTGCTTCCTTCATTCGGGTGTCTATGTCGCCGTATCGACTCTCTTACAACAGTTCAACATGCTTTATGATCGAAGCACGTTCTAGAAGTGTAGATGCAAGGTTACGGTGGGCGACAGCCCGTTGTTGGAGGAACGTGCAAGCGTTTCCATCAATCCTGCTCCTCGAGTTCATCCATGCTGACACAGCCGATGCCGTTGCGCAGTGTAGAGGTCCTTTTGCAAGCAAGTCGTAGTCTTGTGACAAGTCCTACGTGTACTAGCTGCAGCCATATCCATGGCGCTTGAATCATACCATGGTAGTCGTGAGGGAGGAGGCCGGAAGCGATCACGTCTTCGAAGTTTCGCTCGTAAGGGAATTTGGCTTTGACGAGCCTGTGGCCGCTTCCGGTGCGGAACGGATCTACCCCAGTGACGTTTAGCAGACTCCACTTTCTGTTAGTGAGAATCGATGAGGTCGATTTCGCTGCATTGGGTTTCTCGTACAGCTTCGGCCCTCGATTTCACAAAAAAAGCCGCTATCGGGGTGTAGGTCGCATACCTTTAATGGATCTATCTATCTATCTATCATTCGCTCTCCGTTTCCGTTCGCTTCTCCGATCCTAAGTGGTCCAGTGCGTGGTATATCCGGTCTTTCCTCGTGGATGATTGCGTTGGAGGCTCCAACAACTGTTTTGTGGTATGAACGCTCGTTCTTTGTAACCTCCTCCATTTCCTTGTAAAAGTCGTCTTTTTCTCCGTCGGTTGCTGTTAACTTTGGCGCATGGCAATTAATAATGTTGACGGTGGTGCACTTGTAGATGCGTAGAATGCCCATCGGGCAGTCGCGGGCCGAGTACCTCGGTTGAGTCGACAGATGTTCGATCCCACGGTGGTCTAAAAATGCGACTCCTCCGCCTTTTCTTCCATCAAATTTAACCGCTAGAACGGATAGGCGTTCGTCGTTGGTCTTCTTGATATTCGGTTCCTTGGTTTTCATTCCTTGAAGGGCAATGACCTCGGAGCGAATCTCGTTGCTGGTCACATTTAGTATAGTTTGGTTGGCATTTGGGGCAATCGTACGGCATTTGTAGGCGCAAATATGTAGGCAGTCTCCATACCTCGATGGCTATTCGACCTGTGCGCTCCAAATTCTGCGGCTGTTTTTTTCTGAAGGTCCTTTCAGATTGCCGTTTGCTCCAGTGCACTTAGAGCTCGTGCTTCCATCTGCCTCCACCGGACAATCATTGTGAGTGTTAAATATAGGATTCTCGGGTAGCTAGCCCATTGAGGCGGTGATTACCTCCATCCATTGTTAGGTGTCGCCTCCTCGCCGCTTCGAGTCCAGTGGTAGAATTCGAGAGGGGGCTTTCTGAAATACACTTGTGAAAAGGAAGAAATACTAAGTGGAGATTAAACAGCATGGAATAAGAGTTTCCGTGGTGTGTGCGGGTCCATTGGTGGAGGTATATTAGCGCAGGATTTGCGTGGTGCAAGGTTTCCGGTTCCACGGTTGTTTGGCTCATTATTAATCTGAATAACTGAAATTCTCATTCGTGTATAATTTTTGAGTTAGCCCCCACAACTGATTTCTGAGATTGCCAACTATCGTTTCTGTTATTTGGCCTCCTTCACAACTTATGAAACCCGAGTTGGGAATAGAGCGCTTTCGGCGACCCTCTGGGTGAAATACTATAGTTTACTACTCTGAAAATTCTTAAATGTTGGGCGTCCATCGCCATAAACTCGATTCTCAGCGATTTCGAAATAATGCTTGATGAAAGTTAACTCCTGCCTCTCCCGACTGAGTAAGTCAAAGTTACACAGTCGTAGGCGAATGGTGCGACCTACGTACTGGTCGCTACGCACTCGTCCTTCATGTATTCGGAGGTTATTTGCCACGATCCGCGATCCTTCAGTTACTTGTACGTCTAGATATCTTCATCACCATGATCACCTAAAAAGTGGCTTATTTAAACTGCTGTAGCTTATCCAAATGCTCTTTGATCCTAGCGCGAAACGGCCTTTCTGTGTTAAAGGCCTGAATAAGCGCTTCTGTCTCGATTGTATCGAAGGCCTTCTTTCAGATGGAAAATCCAGAACGGAATTCCTGCTCTATCGTTGTACTCTGATGATTCTTGAGACCATATGCATGTGATCAATTATGCTTGACCCTCTCCGAAACCCTGCTTGCTTGAATAGTTGCTCTTCGTCCAGCACTCTGCCTATCCTATTGAGGATATCCGTAAAGTTTGTAGGTTACAGGCAGCACCGACTGTGTGAACTGCCTTTCGATAAATCTATAATCATCTTCTTGAATTCAAGAGGTGGGGAGTGAGGCGGCTCCATTGCTTTGCGAAATTGCATATTTCAATGTTCAAGGCATCTCAGCGTCATTAGTGGTCCTCTTTCAACTGTAGGCATTCATAATTGCTCTGAACTGCCACTTTCAGGTTCTACTGAATTAATTCTCCAGGAGCCGCAACGAGGCTGGGTGACATTCATTTGTTGCACTCAAAAAAGGGGCTAAATAGTAGCAGCTAAATAGACCACATTAAGGGCGCTTTAAATGAATGTTCAACTCTATGTAGCTACCTTGCTGTTTCTGCGATCAAACGAGCATATGAATGCTTTATAATATCTTTATCTTTAATCACGGCAATATTTATCGAACAAATGTCCGTTGAGCAACAATGAAATGAACCCTAATGCTATTTGACTTCTCTCACATAGTAACTGATATACCACTAAAATAGGCGGATTGAAGAGAAAGCATGGCATGACGGCAATAAATCAAACAAAAGCGCAGATATTTTGCTTATTGCAGAACGACATTTGGAAAATGTGATACCCAACAAGTGAAAATGGCCCCATAAATACTAGTGAGTGCACAAAGATCATAGACTATTGGCCGGAATAGATTGTATCCCGCACATAGCCTTTTGGGTATGGATTGTTGCTTGTTTGTTTTTGCAAGGTTCTCTAAGCGGTCTAAAGTCTGTTGGAGGCACCGTTCCGTGCAGGAGTTTTCGAGAACGTTCGAAACATCATCACACTTCGTTTCTGCTGAGCGGACGCGTTCATCATCATGCCACCGCCAAAGCCAGCTCGAAAGCGATCGCTATTCTTCCGCACACCAGCTACTGCTGAACGCTGCTTCTGAAACCATTCAAGTATTACCGCAAACTTCATAAAATTGCTAATAGATGTCTTCAAACTAGAAGTGCCTTCATTTATAACATTGTCTCGTTTTGGGGTAAGTAAGGAACACTACGTGAACCGACTGAGCGAGTTTTCTGTGAAATCATATATAAGTATCACAAATGTTATTGTAATCATGACAATGATAATTGTGAAATTAAAATTGAAAGGGGTATTATTATAATTGTTGTTATAATCAACATTATTATCATATGATCATGTTAGGTCGATGAAAAAGCCCTGAGACACTTGGATGACCATTATTATTTTTGATATTCGTCCAGCGAAGGAGCAAGTCGGCTAGCCGGCTTCTCTTCTACCAGAAAAAGAGGGTTGTGAGTCGGAAAGTCAGCCACAGCTTTTTCGAGACCAACAAAAGTGACCAACATCCTTTTGACCAGGAAGTGTTTAACGTGCCCAAAAGGTCAGAAGAGACGAGGTAAAAGAAGTAGGGAGTGAGAGCTCAAGTAGGGAGCATAGAGAACGGCATTCCAGCCGTGTTCCTGTAACCTGGACCGCGCGGTCTTTGCTACGTGATTGGAGTGCTACCACGAAGAAGATGAATAGAAATTTTCTGAGTCGCTTTTTTTAATGCATGACGAACCATGACTGCCGTAGATGGTAACAGTGACCGACTGGCTCTGTGGAATCAACTCGCGGTATTGATATTTACTTCGAGTCTTGCAAGCAGCACAGCAGTACCTTTTTCGGATGCAGTCGTGGCGTGGGTTGTGCGAATGGTTCTTTCCTTTTAGAACACAGAAGAACACAGTTACCGACCTTCATGTTGTTTCACAGAACATCCAGCTCTCATCCCGGTTATCTATCTGCGGAAGCTCCTTCCGGTCGGAGGTCTCAAGGAGAGATTTGCTGATTAAGACACGAGTATTAGGGATGTCGTCGGTTTTCGCAGACACTTCCCTGTAAGCGTCCGCGTTCGTGAAGGTGTTGCTCTGATCGCACTCGAAAAGCTTCACCATTTCTCTGCTCTCAGCCTTCGGCTTCTTCTTCACCTGTTGAAAAGTCGGTCGTTGTAAATAGGAACTGGTCCTACGGACGAGGATCACTGTAAGGCATCGTGCTTCCAAAATAAAGCGATAGAATAGACGACTACGAATTGCATGGTTAAGAAGCCCTCTCTTAATGCACCTTGATGTTGGGGGCAGCGGAGCCGCAGTGCTATCTTAAGAGGGCGGTTGATCGAAGATAGTATTTTGACAATAGCAACGTGATCTACAAAGAAGAGCTCAGGGACCTATTTGGATGCTACGTTGTAACTCTTAAATTCTTTCCAAGTAAGGTGATGATCCGAGGGCGCCAAAGGCTCTTATACATAGGAAAAATGCATGTAAATTTACGTCTCGAGGTTTCTGCATCAACCTAATATGATTTTAAAAAACTCGGGAACTTTTTCTTCGATCCTCTGATTTTTCAGTAATCAGTAGTTTCAGTATTGGTGCAAAAATTGAACAGCGGTATTTTTTGAGAATCGAGAATAATAATATCAATATTCACTACAAATTATAAAAATCACGAATCATTAGAAGGGTTTTTTGGAATTTCTATAGTTTTCTCAGTGTGTTTAAGATACCTAATTGTTTTTAATACAAGTATTTGTCTAAAAGTCAGTGTTGAATCAAACCACACTCACGCCCATGAGATGAGAACTGGGAATGTTCTATGAGATAGGAGGCCACAACTTCAAATCAGTGCCGAAATTTCTCATGTGTTCTGAAGCCACAAACCACGAACTTTTCCACTGCATCCTCGTTATACCGGTGTAAGCGAAACTCAGAGATTCACCAACACCAAAGCTTAAGCAACTAAGTTTTCGTCTCAGCTCTCACTTCGTCCAAGACACTACATAAATAAAACTGATCGAAGGAGGCATTATTGGTAAAGTGATTCTTACTAGGCATTCGAAGTCACCTCCAGCAAGATAGAGTCCTCAAAACACGATAGAGGCGAACAGAATAGCAGAACAGAACAGCAAGACCTTTTGATCTTATCATCAGCAAATTGTCTTGATCATCATGCTACCTTCTCGTGTCAAGCATCGCTTGGGCTCGACTTCGCCTAGGTTTGCGATGTGGCCTGCAACTCAGATTATCTACCGAATGACGCATTGCTAGTACGTTCGGGTAGCATAGAATCCGAGCAACCAAATCAATCGGTAATGGTACTTTGACTAACTTTATGAACTGTATTGGCCGTTGCTTAACAGAGGAAGCACGTTAGCGGTGAAGAGGTCGACATAGATCTTATGAATAGTAACGTGCGTTTGAAAGCTCCTTAGGAGCAAGAAGCAGTGGCATCCTCAGCGTAATATGTAATTGATCCGGACTTCTTTTCCCGATTAGTTTCCTTCTTATGATTCGCGTCAGAAGTTGAGGTGGAAAAAGAAGGAGAAACTATCATTTCAAAACTTTCTATGAAGTTTGAAATTCTGTCGCGGGTCACCCGTACCTATTCTGAATCATATATATGACTGCAACGATTCTGGTCAAATTCGAAAAATCGGATAGTCGAAAAATTAACTTTTCGATGTCTTCGAAAAGTCAGATATTCGAAACAAATCCAGATTTGCCGAATATACCGTCGAAAGTTGTCTGCTTATCCATCTGGTGCTGCTCACCCGATCGTTTCGCCAAGAAATCTTCTGTCTCGATGGCGTTCCCCGGAATTGTCGGCCGAAATCCTACAATAACTTCACTGTTCTCGTTTCTTAGATGAACTGCCTTTTCGTCGACCACGTCTTTGCAGATACTGTAGTTTTTGAACAGTTTTCGTCGATTGCTGGTTGTTGACTTCACAACATTCGCTCATTATTCTACTGGCTTTGAATAGGTATTCTTATAAAAAGACCTCTATTTTCCTTCTCAGCAAGCGCTCAATGCATTGCTTTTGAGAAAGTGTTGCCTCATAGTGCATTTAAAGGCACAGTTCACGTTAAAAACGGTCACTGAGATTCACTTTTGGGTGAATCTCCGATCCGCAGGATAGTCTAAGGGGACGCTGTTGTGTCAAAAAACTGCCTAGATAGGACGTGATAATGGTCCCAAAACCGGCCTATAAGACGTAAACATACAAGGCGGACGAGTGTTGGATCCTTCAACTCGCCCACCCGCCTTGGGTGTGCACGTCGCACTAGGACACACATTTCGCAGGTCAATGGACCCAGTGTATGCATTTGCGCGCGCGTTTGAAGTGCTCTTTCAAATACCACTTCCATGCGACTCTTCTCGTCAAATTCTCATCCATTTCCTAGTTTCACTTCTTTCTTGAGTTACATATTTTTCTGAATAAGCTGATTCCCGCATTTTCTTCGTCAGTTTTGCCCTATTATGGTCCATCTTGCATTGTTCGTCTAATACAAGAAGTTCTAAAATTGTCATGAACTGTGCCTTTGAACACAGATTCGAGACGATCATATGTTGAAGTAATACTTCAGAGTCTTTCCCAGTCTAAAAAAACCGATCGTATTCGCCTAAGAATTTCTTACAAATAGTAAAGAGATCAAAACAAATACTTCAGAGGAAGTTCAGATTCACACGAAAAAAACTTACACGAGTAATAAAAAGGACACCGACATTGCACAGTGCTGCAATCAGCTCATTCGGCAAATACTCAGTACAGGAGCAGTCTGTATAGCATTGTCAAATGCGTTAATAAAAGTTCGTAGTGAAACGTGCCGAAGTTGTATCGTCTTGCCGGGCGATGTTTTGCACATATGGTGTAGTCGTATAATCTTCCTACATCTTGCCAATATTGATATTCGTACCAACAACATGGGGTCTCAATGCACGATCATGCGAACCCACCTGATTTTGCTTTTTGAAAAAGAGTGGATGTCGCGCACTGCTAAGGGCATTTTGATCGAAATGTTCTGTAGAGATTACGGTAATCGCCGCCAGCCCTTCTTCTACCATGGAAATTAGGGTTAAAGATCCCCTCCCCTAAGACACCACGCTAGGCAAAAAACTCGTCACATAAACTCGGAAACAAATGTCCTACTCATTCGACGCAGCGAGGCAACCTTCAAACGCTGGCCGCTAGTGAATGTTAGTTAGCTGCCTGCGAGCATAAAGTAAATCAATAGAACGTGCTGAGGAACTCCACGGCGGATGTGATGGTAGATGGGTGCATAGTGTACAGCGCCCGTAAACTCGTTCTACATCTCCTATATCACGGTTGCCCCGTTGATCATCGATTTCTTTCGCCAGTAACATCTTCATTTGTCTCGATTGCGAGCGGATAGCTCCAGTGGATGGCACTCGCTCGAGTAGCATAAGTAATCGGTCGCATTCCTATCTTTCGGAGCCTTCGTGAATAAGTCTGACCATCCCGCTGGCAGCCGTATTGCTGTCGTTTGACATCCCGAAGGATCCTGTGAGTAATCACTCTGTACAGCGCTCATCATGATATCGCATAACGTGTCCGGCTCACCTGATCATTAAATTCTTGGCGTTAGCAACAAAATTCCTGATCTTCTTCCGTCGACGGAGCTCGGAACTTTTTGGAGTACCCAGCATCGTCTTCTCCGGAGCGCGTTGAATGACGCTGACATCAAGCTCGTCCTTCTTTCGTAGAGTCCAAGCTGCCGAGGCGCCCGTCAAAGCAGGAAGGACCGCAGCGCCAAGCAAGTGAGCGCGGAGCCGGATGTCCTTTGTTTTCTTCACTACTCCCTAAATATTCTACACGCTCACGCGAGCCTTTAATAGCTATCTTGCGGCGCTTGGGTATTTGTCGCCGAAGCTTGACTGATTTGTGACCGTGCTCTCGAGATCTTCGACGATTCATCATATGGGCTAGAGTTAGAAGATTGTATGACCACATTGTGATGCTACACAATTACGAATGGCAATTTCTATAAATTACACTCGAGGATCAAATAAAAATTGTAGTGAGAAAGGATACCGTGACAAAGCTGCGTTTGGTGGGAGTAGTACGTGATGGTCCTTGAGGTGTAACCGAACTGATGAGAGAAGGCGAGTTTTGAGAAATAAAAATTGTGCACTAATCACACCACGTTGCGGGTCGTTGCTCTTCCATTCTCTCCAGATTCAGCAGGATTAGCTGAATTCGCAGAAACTGTAAGGGGATCCAAGATGCGATGCAGCTCAAGTAGCTACAAGGCTGAGTTGACTAGCCATAAGACGAAACGGCAAATGCAGCAAGCGACGCCGTGACGACGAGATGATGTTCTACGTCTTCAAGCAATGGGGTTTGTTTCCTGTCATGCTCAGAACTTTGCAGAGTGCGCTTCTCTTCAATAAAAGCGTTCATTATGTTTTATAATAGTTTGTATCCATATGTTAACGTTCGTCACATTTATTGAAAGGGTAATGTATCTACGTGTCATTTACATGACACTTTTATTTCCACCACTTTAACGCACACAAAAAGATTAGCTACAGAACATACACATGTAAAAAACTCAACCTGATGAAACAGTCAAAAGAATGTGAAAACATGGTATTCATGGATATCACACTTTATACATGCCACACGGAAATGAGTCATGAGTCTCAAGTCGGAGACTGTCGACTGAGGAGTCAGTCGAACAAACATGAACATGAGTCGAGATCAGTCAAAGAAGTCCTCTGATGTGGAGGGACGGGCCAAACGGAACAATGTGTGCTTATTCAGACTTTTCACTAATTCGCCAAGATGTCATGAAAAAGACATGAGGGCGAAGGCTGATGGCTGGCAGTAACGCAACTTCCGCCTTACAAACCTATCTTATCGAGCAGGCGAATTACCGAGCAGGCAGAACGGGTGCAGATGGAATTCGACAGCGCTCGTGGAAAAATCGCTCACCAGAACGAACACCCTCGAATCATTCTGGTTTTTGGACTGCAATATTAACATGATGAACACTTGTTCCATAGCTAAGCAGAACGAAGCAAGCCGCCTACGTAGTACTTGAGAACATCGAGGGAGCAGTGAGAAGACGAAGCGCGCCTTTTTCGATTCTGCCACATTCACGACCCCACCTTTCGAATCCTTCGTCTTTCGTTTCACTATGAGCAGGCAGGATGAGCATGCAGTCATTGAAGGCACTGTAGAAAGATTAGTGCTTGGGGTTCTTCAATTCAAATAGATGAGATTTTCTCGTTGTTACAACCAAAAAAGACAACTGAGGTATGCTTCAATAGCATCAAAGATCTGATGAATTTCAGGCAGTAGGTTTCCTTGTTACAGAACGCCGGATCCGGCCATTGAGAATCTGTTTTTATGCTTTTTTTCTTCTTTGAGTTCAGAAGCCTTGGCCATCCAGATGACATCGGATAAGGAAAGAAAGGTAGTAATGCGAAACTCGATAGACTCGATCCTGAAATGCACGGTGCGCGCGGTAGGATAGACTAGCCGAGTTGTTCTCCCTTGGTCCAGTAGTGGCCGTTCCTCTTCAGGCCGAATTGTAGCGCTGAAAGTCGACTTCTGCGCTACAATTTGCCGCGGTCATGCATTTTCAGATTTGCCTTTGGATTTCTTAGTTGCTTGAAGTATGTATCTGTGGTTACTGACCATCCCATTGCTCGCAGCTCTCTGTATTTGACCTCAAACGCATGGACAAATTCAGGGCCTTGCCTTTCTGGCGCTTACGAATGTGCAGAAGATAATTTGGCACTCTGAGCTCCTTCAATGAACTTAGTTCAACATTTTCCGAGCATAGTAAAAAAAGATGTTGTAATGCTTGCGATTTTGTTGAGCTTGCTCAACTAGATCTGCTACCGTCTGAAGTTCCCGTGATCCAGACTATATTTCCATCATATGGATATCCTTGATCAAACCACTCCTTAGATGAGACAGGTAATTGTCCGAATACAAGCTTCTCTTGCAATCCATCTTACGCATTGTTCTACAACATGTTCGATCTCAAGTCAGGTTGAGAATCATTGAGGGCGTGATGTAAGCTTTTGCATTGCTAGAAGCTCCTGAACAGCGACAGCCGTTTCTTCTACTTTTGTGATTTCTTGATCTTTTGCCTTTTGACTCTGACTCTGGACAGTCTGACTTTGTCAGGTCGATACACGTAAAATTCAATGGATATGGTGAGCACAACTACATAAAAAATGATTTTTGTCGATGTGTGATCCAACTCTCAGCAGTTTTCCACCATGAGAACACAGAGTTTCATGTTTTTTTTTGGTGAGAAGATTTCTTCGCGAGAGCAATGCTACTGTGAATGAGACAAATTTGTCGGTGTGTGATGTGTGGGACCTAGGTGAAATGTAGCAGTGGGCGGGTTCTCATACTTACAATAGGAGAGGTACTTCCATTATAAAAAATGCGATCCCACAATAGTTTGTATCTGTTACATCTGTAGCCTCACAGAAAACGATAGTAATTGTACTCCTGACTCGTGAAATCCCAGGTTCAACAAAATTTTTCGGATTCTGGGACTTCTTGTGTTGTCTCAGAAGGATCTATCCGCGCGCACATCAAGCCTATCATAAGAGGAGCTCCGCTTAACTTAAAGACACAGCTCACGAAAAATTTTGGGTAATCCAGATTACGATGAAAAGTGGAAGACAAGGTGGAAAATAGTGATGTAAAGGTGAAGTGAAACATGAAGGTGAAGAAACTGCGTGAATCGGTGTTTCGAAAGTGAAAGAAGGCTTCGAAAAACCGTTAAAAAGGGGACAGGACGAGAATGAGACCAGAAAAATGAAGAGTGGGGCGTTCGGACGAGCTGTACAAGCTGTGTCTCACTGCGTGCGTGTGGGTCCTGGTGCAAATGACAGACTATGACAAGCGAAAATTCATTCACTTATGAGCATAAGTAAACAAAAAACCCTAGTAACAGCTGAAGTAGCCCACCTTTTTCGGCTTCTAGAAGTGGGAAATTAAAAAGGGTTCGCGGCAGCCAAAAGAACAACAGAGAAAAAAAAGAATGGGAGAAAAACATCGCCTCATCACTCGGCGTTCAGCTGATTATATGTGGGTCCTAGAACGAATAGCAGCAATTTGTATTGTATCGTCACTCGTCTAACGTGAAACCGGTCGAGAGGTGTTGAAATCAATTACGGCAGCAACAGGGCTGAGTATTCTCTAAGGAAGAACTCAGTAGTCTTTTTTTATCATGAACTGTGCCTTTAAGCATGAATAGCACATGTTGGACTTTACTCGTTCTCTCAATTCTTTGCTGGCCTCTAGTATTTCGTCAAGTTAATGCATAAATTCATGAGGAAAGCACCGCTCTTGTGAGGTTCGCTCCGCCCCCGCGTGTGGATATCCTTCATATCATTTGCTGACCCATTCCCCAGCTCAGCTCATCTTTTTCCGCTCTCTCGGGCTTTGGGATCCGAACTAGAAAGTTTTGCTCACTTCTTGACAAGTCCCGCCACCGAAAGGGCCTGCTCTCTTCTCTGAGTTACCACGCTCTGTTAAGAGTCCTTTACATAAAAGCATGACTGTATAAGGCCAGAAGGCCAAAATAAGTTGAGGGGATAAAACACAACTTCAATGTGCTATGACAGGCGAATAGTAAAGACCAGAAATTATGCAAGGGTAATTACGGGTATCGGCCAATTCATTGCCTGAGAGTGCGGCTGAGACTATAGGAAGTGAGCTTTGTTTAATGAGTTGTTTGCATAATGATCCGGCATATTGACAAAGAAGCGATACCGGAGACTAGAACGAGTTGCACTTTTGTACAGCTCACAAAGGCTTCCTTTTGCAACTGGTTGCAAAAGTTGGAGGAAATCAGAGCACTTTTGTTCGACTTGACCATTTAGAATTTTGCTGACCTCGACAATACCAGCAATTTTTCTCCTGAGTGAGTGCGTTTTCAATTCTAACAACCGATTGCAGGATGAGAAGTCAGGCAGTGGCAGGCAAGAAAGACTACAAAGGAAATCACTTGTGCGTGAAGCTATTTCGAAGTGCCTGTAGCGCTTTACATCTTTTATTTATTTTGTGACTTCCAGATAGAGAGTTTTTAAATATACATAGTAAGGATGTTAGGATGGAAGAAAACATCTACTTACCTCTCCTCTTTTTCCTCCGTTTGATTAGAGCTCGGCTGCGAAAAAGTCATTACATTGCTCAAACTGTACTGCTTACCTCCACTACCTGGTGATTTCAAAAGGGTCGTCACAGCTTCGATTCACTCACTGGGACTACGGAGAGTATAAGCGTACCGCTGTGATAACCTCAGATTTCTAGCCGAGGACAATGTAAAGGGAAACAACTGGAACCAAAGGGCTTAGCAAAAGATTAGGTTCAATCTAAAAAAAGGGAGTGACTGAAACCGGCAGGAGCCAGCCGTAGAATAACTTTAAAAAGAAGCGACTTTGGAATTGGAAAATCTTGACCTCAGATGCGGCAGAAAGTTGATGTGAAGTAAAATTCCGCATAACGCTGCTTCGTGAAGGACTCTTGTGGAACAAAATAAGATGAAAGCGCAAGGTGTGGTCTTACCTGAGGCCTGTCAAGCCGATTCGTAATGCAGTTGGCAGTGTAAACGGAAAGAATCACTATTGCTACCATACCGCAGGCTAATCCCATTGCCCAATGCGGAATTGACGTGTTCATCTAAATACGAAATGAAACCGATCTCCAGGCTTCTATTCGTAGAAATCCTCACATCAGTCCATTCAGCCTCGATCAAACGATTTGCGTGTCGGATGGCGGCTTGAAGGGCGACTAAAACTGGCTCCCGTGACGATACTGACGTCGGATGGCTGTATCGTTGGAGACGTTCCAGAGCATTTCTGGAAAATTTCAAATTTTGTTGATCAAACCATGCATTAGCAAGCTGTGATAAAGTTTAACGATAACGGAAAAACAGAAAACATATCAACGAGGGGAAGAGATAAAGGGAGAGTACGCTCGAGAAAATCAGCAAATAGAATAAAATACATACGAATCCTTTTTCACTGCGCTCACCCGTCTATCGGCGTGTCATAATGAAGACCGTCAGATCATGCCCCTGCAGTTTTCCTTCCAAAGGTTATGCTAAAGGAAAGGCGGGCTGCATATAGGAAAAGTGTGTTCCGTGAACTGAAGTTGATCGGTCGAAGAGCTATGCTTTCAGGCCGAAGTTTTATAGAGCCTAGTTCTCGACGCTGCCTCTGCAACTCGTCTCTCAGTTGACAGGACAGTATTGCAGACGGTACTTGGTATCCACTATCATGTGAACCTGGATGTCAATCAACGCTTCGGAATTCCACTGATTTCAGGCAAAAAATAAAATTGTTACTGTAGATTTTGTAGTATACAGAACAAAACAGAGGGTCACGGATTTCCAATGGGTTCTTTTGAAACTCTCTACTTTGACTAACGGTAATGATTAATACCCCCAGTCTCGTTCTCTAACAATACTTAAATTACCCCTAGTTAGTGTTTCCCGAGATGCCCTGGAAAGAAGCATACCTCCGACATTTGTTCCACCGTAACCTCGTATGGTACCTTGCCGGCACAGACGCAGCTTTGAGATACTTCAAAACTGACTGTAGCCAGCGAAGCGTTTAAGCACGGACTGGGCGAGTAAGAAAACTAATTTGGCTTTTACTTTTACGATTCTCCCCACATCCTTTTCAGAATCGTCTGCAAATACGAATGCATTATCGTGCAGATTTTCGGTCACGGACTGATCATTTATAACACCTATTCCCATTCTTTATAATCACCATTCGTTCAAGCCCATTGCTTATAAAACTTTGGAGCAAGTCACTGAAATAGAGTGCACATGGGCACAAGATAGAAGTCTGCTCGTCCACTGATAGTTTCCCTTTTCTATGAAGATGTCTTTTAATGCGACTAGAAAGAACTTACGAGTAGACTGGAACTATGAAAGGCTTCCGAATACGGTCCGGATTCCAGGAACGAATATAGACGATCATCAAATCAGCAGTGCAGTGAGTTGACCAATGTCGACTGAGTAACTGCGCAAATAGGTAAGCCGCAGCTGGAAGTGAAGTAGGGGGAGCGAAGTCCAATGACGAGTCGCATGAGATTATGCTGAAATTGGAACCTTCCTGTCGTGAAAAATCACGAAACTCAGTATGCACTTCAATGAACATTTCGGAAAGCATGAACATACATGAATGTCTGGCATTTTTTCCCGAAAAGAAACTGACTACTAAGTTCTACCCAAGATCTTGGCTTACAATATAGCATTACAGTTGCGATTTCGAATCGCTTTGAGAGTGTTTCAGCTAGTGATCGATAGCCCAGAATCAAAGGCTACTGCGCTTTATCTTGCAGTGTGTAAGTGCTAAATTCATATCCGTTGCTTGACCTGAGAATGGCGTACGCTGATGGAGAATGGCAGTGATGTACGCACTCGTCGCATTCCTGCCCCAACTATACATAACATTTTACACAAGCAATTCTGCAACGAAAACCGCTCTACATGAGACAGAAAGTTCAATGAGGACTACAAGGTCTCATGCTAATTATTGTCACACTGTCCTTACAGAATATCTGTTAAAGTCCCTTGGCTTCAGCGAATTTCTTCGAGACATCCTAATCGAGACTTCAAATCATCGACTCTGTGCGCTTCAAAGTAAAATGCTTTACTATGCTATTACCAGATATGTTGTCACCTTCTCATCAAATGTCCATAAAAACGCAGTGCAAGGGGCAGGACGGGACACTGACGCTAGGTGGCAAGACAAGACTCCGCCCAAAATGGGTGAGCGTGTCCGAAGAAGTGTAATTTGAACCTAGAGCGTTTAAATTTTGTAGGAGTAGAGGAGGCGGGGATCTAGAGCCATCAAATTTGGTAGGAGTAGAGGAGGAGGGGTGGGCATGGGCCCACTGACGATGGAAGAACCTCAGAGAGCAAGATCCACTTACCAAGTAAATTCTGATGCTTTTTATTGATAGGATCTAAATTTGACTCTCTGATATGTTCAATCGACAATAACGGTTAGTGCAGTAACGGGGACCGATTAAGGGTACTTAATTATAGGGAGACGAAACTTAGGTCCATTTCTTGCTATTAGATTACGACCGCTACCCAGCAAAGTTCGTCATTCAATGATGGATCAGGGTTTCGCTTTGCTCCGACACCTTTCTTGGCAGTATCAATCTGACCGCAAATGATCTTGGCTTCTCAAGTAATGATCTATCCGTAGAGAAAGGAAGCTTCATTGATGAAGACATTCGATAATAGTGTTAATATGACTCGACAACATTAGTAGGTACCATTCAAGACTTTGATCGTCTACTAATATAGAATGAATATAGATTCCTCTATAACCATCACAACATGCATGTTATCAAAAATGACTTAGAACTTTTTGTTATATAGGATTGTTCACAATGATTTGGTTATTTGTGATGTTTCTTGTATCACTATATTCTATATCAAAAGAGTGATACAGTGAAGTACGGTTCATTTAATCAGCGCATTCGTCTCCTGCCTTCCGGTCCTGTCGTCAGTGCAATAAATATAAGAAGTCCCGCGTGGCAGCAGCACTGCAAGATCTGGACACATTACAATGGGTCATTGACTACAAAGATAAATAGCAACTTGTAGAGAGCTATGAGCATCGGCACATTTTAATCACCACTAGCATGCCGTGTTGGTTCTCCGTCAACTTCCGCGTTCCGGAAAGTGTTTTGCCCATTATTACAACTCCGACACAAGAAGGAATAAAGCCCGCAGCTTGCAACTCGACTGGTTGTGCTTGAACGAGACCGTTCCTACCTCGTAACCTCCAAATGTTAACCATAGCACTTGGCCTTGTGATCTGCATCTCCCCACTTAGGATGACATGCGAGCGCTACCACAGGAGCCATGGACAAATGGCGTTGAAGAATATCAGCTAATCAACCTGCCCCCAACTCCTCTCCACCTTCAATGGGGTCCCAATGCAAGCCTCTCTCTTCACTATCTCGGGTTCTTCGTCTTTCAGCGTGACTTGTCACAATGAGACGATCAGTATCAAAGGAGCGAAAAAAAAAGTTGAGAAGAAGATTGGTTTCCCTAGCGGATCCTTTCAAAGACTATGATGTAGTGAGGAAAAGAAATAAGTGTCAAGTCCAAAGACTCGATCTATCCCTTTTGAGTATGCGCCTCTGCGCCTTCGACTTCCGAAAGGAATCGTAGGGGCTTCTGAGTACGTATTTGACCTTTGCAGTTACCTGCGATGATAGATGATTCACAAGTCAACGCTTTTATCTATTCTCAAAACTAAGTCGAAGTAGTAAAAATTGTATTACGGAAAGCAATAAAAGATGAATTACAGTTATGAAGGGTACAAGCAAGACCCTTAGGCCACCGGGCTCAAGAAAGAGGGAAGCACATCGTCATGTAGCTTCGATAGGAAGGGAATGTAAGTTTTCCTTCAATGTTCATAACATTTTTAACAGAGAATAACAGAATGAGCTACAATACAATCTGTTTGTTGGAAAAGGGAACCTTCAGCGTTTAGGATTTCTGTGATGCTTATATACAATTATTATCCAAAGTTGTATGGTACAGAGGTGTGTGCATTAAAGTTTTGCAGATGATTATAAACGTTCATTCAAGGCTCTTCAAAGTGCGCCTTTTCACATAAATAATGTGACAGACTTGAGAAGTGATTGTGATTTAAACTCTCTCTTCTCTCTCGGAATGGCGGGACCAGTAATTCTTTGGCACAGCTTTTCGTTTCTTATGGGATTGCGACTCGTCAAAAAGTGTGTGGACTTGAAGGAAAGGTGAACACCTTTTATCTATCCTATTTTATATTTATGCCTTCTCCCCGCGCTTTAACCTACTTTTTAGGAAGTTTTGTAAGTTTCGGCGCACCATTGAGAAAGGTTTTCTCAATGTTGTCGCGAAATGCTATTCGATTGCATCACTAACCGTGTAGCAACTGCTATAATAATTACAATAATTTGTTCCGTTCATAGAGACGAAACATTAACTGCACTAACGCTCATTCGTCGAGATACTGATCGATCAACAGGTGGAGATGATCTACGCGCACTTTTGCCATTGTCAATGTGCAACGGTCAATAATTACGCATGGTCTTAACACTGACTTTGGACCTGGCCGAGGGATATACTTAAATAGCGAGGGGGCCCCTCAGTCGAGGATCCTACCCATGACGGCTCGTCAATCCACCAATACGCTACTGGTCGTCTCCGCAACACTCAATACCTGTTTTCATTTACCACGTGCAATATCCGGCTCGATTAAATTTAATAATCCATACACGAGGAGAATAATCAAATGTTAGTGTTCGCTTCTTCTAATAAGATTTAGACTGAGCCGTGCATCCCAGCACTCTCCATGCGAGATTTTTGGGCGAGCTACTACTCCACTTAATTACCACAATCCAGTCACCCATCGGTCATTTACGAACTCGGTCAACTTTTTTTTCACAGGATAGCAAGCCGGCTGCCTTGGAATCCATGCAACAGCAGCTTTCGTCTCTTTTCGCACACTCCAATAACTCTTTAAACATCTGTGTTCCTCTTCGATATAGCTTCAATATCTCAATATCTTGGGACAGTAATTGTGAAGAGTGAGAGAACTCAACCTTCGCAGCTGCAGGTGCTATAGAAGACTCTATTTTTTAACAAAGATGTCCACCCTGCTTAGCACCACATTTTTTAAACAAAGATGTCCACTCTGCCTAGCACCAAGGAACGTCACTTGACGTCTCGTGTCAGTGAAGTCGAGCTCATTCTCAACAGCCTAAAGTAGGACAGACTCGAGGATACTTATAGAGTCAATACGCCAATACTAGTGTTCATTCTCAGCATGTTGTGGATATGATCAAGTTCAACTATCCGCTGAATAGCCTCAAAGCCAAAGAATCATCAAGAACATTCCACGCCACAGGAGGCAATTCCAATAGGGCAACACGATTTCTTCACGATAAGTAAAATAATAGGGAATTGTTGAATAACGCCTAAATAGGAAAATTGGATCACTGCTCTCTCAGTTGACGGTCCAGTAAGGACCAACGTCACCTCCTAGAACAATACGGCACCATATCTCAGATGGAGGAAAAGGAGGAAGAGGTCAGTGATGCGCAGCTCATTAAAAAAGTTTTGGACAAATTCCTTGATTCACTCAAGCGTAAAGTGATGATAAAGAAACAGAGAGTTGCAATGTTGACTCCCTACACAACTTGCCTGCTCTTTAACACCTGGATGAAGTGGTAAGTACAGAGAATAGATTTTGACGTACACAGAAACAAAACCTAAGCAAGCAATCAAGACCGATAACCTCTCTAACAAGAATAGACTTCAAGCGTTCATAAATTGGAAGGCTACATACTTACTCATACCTGCACTCAGTATTCCACTGCTCAAGGAGAACTACCTTTTGAGGGACCGTACCCTGTGCATGATATGTGCGTCCCTGAATCGCAATACTACGCAATACTGTGAAGAACGAATGTGTTTCAGTTAGGGGGAGCGCATCATACCTCTACCGCCCCTCTTCAACTGCCAAAGCTCAAAAATTCTAAATACAACCCATACACCAATAACAACAGAAGAGTAAAGGTGGCGACATTACCGGCAGCAAAGCATGGGAGCTCGCTCTCATCTCATCACTACTACAGCAACCAGCGAACTCGATCACTCTGGCAATGCAACGGTGGGTGGAACTTCTTCAACACCAAGCTGCCGCCACCAAGTGGACGCACATGCGTTCTTATCTGTCAATAGAAGAGCTCACCACTGTCGACACCGGAACAAAGGCTCTACTGAAGTGTTTTGCGAGTCTGAACTATCCTATGGAAAGCGGCTGGGCCAACCGACTGCACTGCCACTACAGGGTGTCAAAGAGATTCAACTAGCAACTTTCGGTTCTCAGAAATTGAAGGAAAGCCTATGCAGTACATATTGACTCTTGAGATGCAGAGGGAAACTCTTGCAACATAGAGCTCCTTACACACAAAGTTCTGGCACATTCACTCGTCAAGATGGAGGAACGATCAGCAACAAGTAGAGGTGATCCACGAGCACTTCTCCTGTGGTAAATGTTAGTTGTAAATTCAATCGTTGTGCATGGTATGGACCCGGTCGAGGGGTATAAATAGCAAGGAGGCTCCTCAGTCGGGGCTCCTAGCCATAATAGCTCCATTACGCCACTGGTCCTCTCCGACAATACTCAATACCTGGTTTCAATTACCACGCGCAATATCCGACGGCACAATAGTCAATACAGAAGAAGAAGAAAGGACCTATTGTTTTTCTAATAAAGAAAAACTAAGTCGTGCTCTATAGCGCTTGAAACATTCACTACACACTAATACCACAAACCAATTCAGAGATCGCAAGATTCCCAATTTTTCACAACATTGGCACAACATTGAGGTCCTTATCGAGTGCAGATTTCTTCCACATAGCGTTTCCTTCCGGGATGCAAGTGTACGAATTGCGCTTATAGCCAGATCTGGACTAGTTTCAGTACCTTGCATCCCAACTCCGCTGTATCATCGTTAGTTAGAACATAGTGTAGCTGCAGTGCAGAATTGTTTATGAATAGTACCAGATTTTTTTTCTCAAATGAATCGAAAACTCGCGAATCCTCAATTGTCCACTGAATGGGAGAGATGCGCCATTTCTCTTACTTTATTTGACCTCTTCTCTTAAAATGTGCCCTGTAATCGCGATTCCTTTGCATGAAGGAGCCCCCTCTTCTGCTCCAGTAAACCGGGTCCGGGAACTTCTCCCCTAACACGGCGTCGCACACGCCGCACCCGCCGCCAACCGCAGAATTGCGATGGAAGTTGGAGCGCGCAAATTGTGAGGTAGGGAGCCCTTTTATTATTTGAATTGGCTGACCGCTTCCTTCAGTTTCAATGCAGTCTTGATCGCCGCTTACATAGGAGGAGTCATCTTAATTAATCAAGTCTAATAAACATGAAAACTAAAAAGAAACAGAAGAAAAAACGATAAAATCCAATGAAGAAGCAAGCCAGTCAAAGAAAAATATCGCGTCCTATCGATTGGCGGGAGGCGGGTTGAGTACGGTAATTGCAGTGACATTTGCCGCATGCCGCAAGGGAGAATGCCGCGATAGGGGAGAAGTTCCGTTACCCCAATAAACCTACCCTCTTCCACGTGCAAGAAGCACTGTTTTGTGCGCACGAGATTTGCATGAGATGATGAGGTGACGATGTCAGCCATTTACACTTCATTTACCTGCTTATGCTGGCGGCTGGTACGATGACGATGCCTAGCTTCTTTCGACCTCGTCCGCACGTCGACGAGCAGAAACAAGACGTCATGTTCAGCAGATGCACAGTGTGGTCCAACATCTCTATTTCGGTTCGAGACAAAACCCCGGCCGGGTCGCAGATGTACGTTGTCTAAACAAACAAAAATACGAGTACGCCGTGATTGGGACGACTTCTGGTGCTTTTTAGGGTTGTTCGAAAAGGTATCCTTCTAAATGCATGCTACAAGTCTAGCCCCCTCCCGATTTTCAAAAGATAGCGAAGCAATTTTCGGAAGAGGGATTCATGGTAGGGTGTCGAATTTAAATTGCCTTTCACCTTCTATTTCGTTTTTACCAAATTTTTGTTCCAAATAATCGTGTAGAAGCAACATAGTTGCGGAAGTTAGCTTATTTGTAACGTGCAAAAGGAAAGTCATGCAAAATATAGATGAATCGCTGAAGTGAGCCCTGTCGCGGACGGAAGAATCATTTTAGTTGTTCTGTTTTAGTTATCTACACAAACCTTCTCGATGCTCTATCAAAACTCAAAAACTCTGTGGGAAGTGTCTCTAAATAGACCTTATAAGTGTTGTTGTGTATGCTATTGCAAGTAGGAAGACAAGTAAAGACCAGACCAACATATCTGTAGCGTCCATAGCACTATGTACAGTCATCCATCAAATAAAAACGGCCAGAAGAATGCGTGAGCCTCAAAGGTCACAAGAAATTATAGCCTTCCAAAAGATGGCTATCAGGCGCCACTACCACATCGACATCATGAGGATCCTTGGGAGCGCATGTTCATGTTAAGCGTTCGAAACATGAATATGATAAATGCTTCGGTCTAAGGGTAATACCTATCCTCAAGCAGTGGGTTTCTACGTGAGCAACTACATGTTTGAAGCTCATTTTAAAAAAGTTTTAAAGCGCTTGGTGCCAAGGGCAAGTTCACGAGTACGATGCACCAGAAGATGTGAGCCGTGGAACAAAAGCGAGAAAGTCCACAAAACCATCAGACAAGGTGAAAAGGCTTATTGAACCAAAAAAAGTTAAGCCTCACCTTGTGGTAGTCGAGCTGACAGAAAATGTCGAACTCCTTCGTATAGGGGACAGGGAATGTGCACGGCCCTGATACAGTATCTGGATGGTAGACTGAATCACGACGAATGGGAGTATGACGGTAAAGGGCAGTCAAACTGGAACAAAAAGTTTCCAGAATAGTCCACCTAGTATTTTATAACAAGGCTCTCAATGCATTTACGTAAAAACCAAGAGATAGCACATAACTGAATAAAAGTCCTGCAAAAAATTGGAAGTTAATCAAATCTTCTTTAGAAAGGTTACTGTTAGGTTGGTGCTTTGAATATGCTTAAGCAGATCATTAATGTACAAAGATCACTGATGAGCAAAGTAAAATCGTCCCAATAATTTTAACAGACATGCTTAGAAATACGGCTCCAGCCAGGAAAAAATACAATCCGATCGGGGCTAAATCAACAAACACCAACCTGGCTACTCTGTTCAGGACTGCCATAAATAGCAGTGCAATCAACATGCCGTCTTCAATCCATCTGAAATACGAAGTCTTGAAAAAAAAGAAACAGGAACCAGGACAGGGAGTTTCGCCGAGTGTTTGTTTAACTGAATTCTATTCAACTGCCTACGTTGAGAAAGAGTCCTTTTGGGAGAAATGTGACATCAAGGAAGACATGTTCAGTGTATGAGGAAAAAACAACTTATGGTCTCAACGACCAACCTTTGCAATATTCAGTAAATGCTGAGCATCTGTTACTTCAGATGTCGGAAAGTTAAGAAGTACTACATTTAATTGTAAATGCTTTATTCTCAACATCCCTCACTAGGCTGATTGATAACCGGTTCAGTAAAAACTGTCCAATTTTCAACTATCTAACATCGCGTGTCTCATGTGAAGCATGTGAAGCAGCGAATGAGGAAATATCGTGACGGGTTCAGCGACGCCCCTCGAGGTTTTCCACCCTCAGCGAGATTCATATCATTCAAAACGACTCAAAACGTTCTACATGGTTCATGGGGAGTCATAGCTCGAAAAAAGTTCTACAGTCATTTGAACGGTAGTCATGAAAGACAATTGCCCATTAGTGAGCTCACAACTAGGTTTCGAAGAATCTTCACACCAAGAACGTCTACTAGCCATCTTTTACTTGTCTTTATCGACGAGGCTACTTCGAGAAACGCAAAAGCGTTTTAAAATTCAAAAATTTCGAGTCCTCGGAATTACGAAGGCAATAAAGAAGATCTTCATCGCTCAGAGATGATTGCCTTTTCAAAATGGATTGTAGCTGCGTCAGTCATGAGAGGTATCATAAATTTAACCCGAAGAAAGGCGAGATGTGGAAGGAGGAGAATTATAAATGAACAGATGTCCCTTAAAAATAGCTAGCATCATCACACAAAGTTAAGATGATAACCTAATTGCTGGGACCATAAGGAAAAAGGTAGATGGTTCCCTTTTGGGAGCGTTCCCTAATATGGAACATCATTATGATTCTAGCAATCTTAAAGCAGAGTTTGACAAAGCGCTATGGAAAATGGGGAGGGTACTCCCACCGCTTACGCCGTCGCATGCTTTTTGACAAGCTATGGGTGATTATATAGAATGTTCTCTGGATCGATCCACCATTCCTTTTATGGTTAACGAGCCGTGCAGCAGCAACAGTGGATTGGCTGCCTTCTTCGCAGAGGCGCTTCCGCCCATCTACACAGAGAATCGAAGAGAAGTAGTTTCGAAGCAGAAGCAACCGAACAACATTATTTTCAGATACTTTTTACGGACGGATTACTTCGAGTGCAGCTAAGTACGACAGCTAATCCCTAGTGAAAGTCATCAAACTGGAGCCTTGCATGTTGCAGTGTATGTCACGTAGTGACTTAATGGCTTAGTATTATGGGTGAGCATCATAAAAACGATTTCTTGGTTGGCAAGGCCGTTTTAACCGAGTGAGTCCCCTTTCTCAAGTACGAGGAAAGGTCATGGCTCGTCTGTTGCAAATGTGAACTGCGAGCAAAGCACTCCGCAGGTATTCCGGTCAAATACGTTAAATATTCTTAATTTACCTTGAAGACACAGTATACTAGAAATGCTTTCTGAAAATTTCAATCAAGGCTGAGTAGAGCCGAAAAATAGGCGAAACAGGGCGCCAATAAGGGCCTAGTTACCGGCTACGGCGACGTCTGACCCAAAAACGTACGTGTTTCAGCGGCGTTGTAGAAGCCGCCACGTTTACGATAAAGTGCATATACTGAAAATTTAAATAAGTAGACGTAAGCCATGGCCATAGCAGAGGGCAAGTTTGGCAATCTTGACTTGTTGTAGTCAACTCTGCATGCAACTGCAAACGATTGAAATCTCGTTTGGGTATCCCTTACAAACCTTTTCTCTTATCAGACCAACTGTTGCCCTTCTCAACATCTCCCGATTCGCCTGAACTGTACGAAGATGATTCATTCTCAAGTTGTGAACCGAGCTAGTTGGCGCTCCAACCTTGCAAAAATGTACCTTGTTTGAGCTTTCTTGTTTGTTTGAGCTTTCTCAGGTGGCATGTTGACCTCTCAGTAATGCAGCGCTCCGACTTGGTCCTGCAGTTTATTTTGGGTACAATTCCGTGAACTCAACAGATTGCGTAAAAAAACTGTGCACTATTCAAGTAATTAATACTTTTCTCATCTGTTCAGGATTATTTTTGTCACCAAGTCCTCATTTTCTCGTATTTACCAAACAAGGTTGAAGGGATTATTTTATTTACCGTACGCCGGATGTTTTGAATGGAATTGCAGTTTAAATTTCCCACTTTTACAGCAAAATGATCATTCTCAAACTCAGCTAATAGGCAGAATATTTTGCAGTCATTTGCCTGGTGGTTCGTTCTACGCATAAGATGAAGAATTTCTTTACTCAGACTCACATAAGTCGATTTTTCGCCACAGTGTGATGGTCGACCAGCAGAAAGGACAATAAGCAATATGAAATCTCTTCAAGGCGATTCAAGGTCGGATTCGGAGATTTGTGAAATTTGGCACTTTTGGAGAAGTTGTTCACCACCGTGTGTATCCTGAGTGACCCACAAAGTTTTGCCATACAGAGCCAGACCGTCGAAAAAATCTCACGGCCCATTTTGACTTGATGTTTTGTTAACTGCTGTTATTTCGACGCACTAAGCGATGCGGAAGTCTCACAAGATTTATGGACAAAACTTCAGTTTCGGATGGGACTCGAACGCGTACTTGTGCTTTTCGGGCACGGCAACCTACCATTTACACTACTGAAACCTCGCTTGCCCTCGCGTACTTAATGGCACATATGCCATGCTTATCAGCACTGACACTTACGTGGTGATCGCGTACTTCAGCAAAATAACAGCATTGAACAAAACATCAAGTCAAAACGAGTTATAACTAGTAAAGCTTACAGCTTAAAGGGTTAGTGCTGATTCTGGCCGGCTGGAACACGTTGTACGTGTGAGTGCTGAAAAGCTATGGCATATAAGCCATTAAGAAGGCTAGGGCAAGCGGGGTCACGATAGTGTAAGGGATAGAGCACGGTGCCCTGAAAGCACAAGCACGGTTCGAGTCCCGCCCGAGACTAAAGTTCTGTCCATAAATCGCCAACCTTGTGAGACTGTCACGACTCATGCCCTTCTCGATAATGCCTTAGTATGAAAGGAGTTGGTGTGTTGCCCCCGGTCACTGCACCATCGCCTCTGAAGTGAAACCCTTGCTATCCTTCAAAAACCTTCATCGGTTTGACACTAACATTTCAGCATTGCTTTCAGTTACTATTTTCGGAGGCTACTATTACAGTATTACAGTTTATTGTCATTTGTCATCCTGTGCCCTAGTGCAAATCCCTTTCCATGACTCTTATGTACATAGAGCCCGAAATGGCACAGGAACAACAGCTAAGATATTGAAATGGCACCGCGACACCCATGCCCTATAAGATGGAGCTATTCCACGTCAAATCAAAAGTTCCATATACATATTCCACAGCCAGCCATCGGAAGGTAAAAAGTACATTTGACAACTCAATTTGGTGTATACGGCAGTAAACAAGTCGAGTCATTTCCATTGTACCGACACAACTTCAATATGAATACACACGGAACGCTCGTTACTAAGAGGTCATTCACAATCGAAGAAAAATGACGGAAAAATGCGAAAGCTGACTTAAAAGCCAACACAGTCCATACGGACGATTGCGAATGGTTAGCGTGCATTGGGAAGGTTTGAGAGGAATCTCAGTGAGATTTCAAGCAGGACATGCATAACCTTCAAAATTAACTTTTCTTAATTACTAGGTTTGCGTTTGGAGAGCTGAATTTTTACGGCGAATTCCCGAACCATTCGCTGGCTGTCGTTTTTCAGGACTACATAGCACGTACGGAGAGTGTCCAAACAAGTATTCTGCTTTGGTATAGCAAATTCAAGCTCTCTAGAGATAATTTTTGATAAGTCGAGTTTTGTTACTCATGGGTGCAGGAATGGGAGTAGGAAGGCAAAGGGGGAAATAAAAAGCGAAGGTAAAATAGAATAGTTAGAAGAAAGGGCATGAATGAAGGAAAGAAGTGGAAACAAAACAGACTTGGGCAGCTGAAAAATCGGTGGTGGATAATGAGACGAAAAGTAAGAAAGGAGCAGAAGGAACTGAGAAAATGCGAGAGAGGAGTTTGAGGTGGTGAATAAAAGGACTTTTAGGACACTTGATTAAATAGCAAATTGCATTTCAACATAATGCCCAAGCGCATACGGAGCAGTACAAGTAGTCTTGCTCAGAACGGAATGAGTTTCAGTCTCATTAAAGCGAAGAAAGAGACCAAAACCAATGTTTCTCGAAATTTACAGATAAAAGTTATATTTTGAGGCGGTTTCGAGCAACGGCTAGGTTCTATAATTTTGACCCAAACTCTACTAATGAATTCAACTCTGACCCCTAACACTAATTCAACCCCAAAGTTGCTGGCAAGTTACTGGTGCCAGAATTTCCAGTTCCCTCATTCCCAGAGGCTAAAGAAAGGGACTGCGCAAATTGGATTCCGATTTGTATTCTGTGCAACACCTTGCGGGAAGCCCCATTATCTCATCCCAACTGCTCCCTCCCTCGTCTGCGTGAATATTGAGCCCCTGCGTTCGTTGCTGATGGGCATGGATCAGATTGGATTTCAAAGGCAATTTATATCAATGTGGGTTTTATTGTAAAACGTCGTCTTGTGCCGTGCAACAGAATGGCCCTGTAAAACCGCTGCTCCCGGTTCTTTCTCAAGAGAACCTTCGCTCATGTCTAATATTCATAATGATCGAGTAACTGAGTGGCATGGAAGCCACAAGAGTAGCTCATAGGTTTCTGCTCAGAAGTATTCTGTTTCATTGAGGTAGGCTGAGCAGGGGAATCAAATCGGGTATATCACTGGCCAGTTTTCTGTCTGCTGAAGTGCTGGCCCGCATCGGCGTTTGACTCTCTAACGGCACTTCTGCGCTTGCAGTTAGATTCAAGAGCGTTTCCTTGACAAGTCCCGGGAGTATCGTTAAGATCAAATGGCTGACTAGATGTTCGCTTTGTTATTCTTCTCAGTAAAGTAAGTTCCTAGTATATTTTGAGCAGTATGACGAAGCAGTAAAACACACTTTTTTCAGGGGGCCCCACGCCACTGCTCCTTATCAATGGATTGAGCTGAGTGTTGTTCAGCAGATTCTCACTTTCTGAGTATTAAATCAGTTTCAGAAGTCCCAATAAGGACTAGGCTGTCTACCGATATTCAGCAATGCCGTTTGACACCTTTCGTCGTATATCTGAGTCCTAACCACTTCTCTTCAAAACCTCGTGAGGACCTTTGTATGATTTTTTACAGAAGGAATGAAATGCATAGTTTCATAGCTCAAACGATGGGAATCGCATTTCTTTCTCATAGGCGTGAATGAGGGCATTTTGACCTTACTGTCGCAATTGTTGCGAATCAGGTCATATTCTCCATTTGGCTCGTGTTCAGTCCAATATAGTATCAGTCTGACTGGAAATTCTTCCTCAAAGGAATTCGACCCTCTATGTATTGACATCCCACTTTCCGCTTGAAAGGGCGGCCGGCGACCAAGTCCACGCGCTCAGTCGGCGCTTACCCAAACGGATTACTTCGCCATCGAGACCTCGTACCTTGCAAAAAAGGATTAGTGATGAACCTTCTGAAAGGTTTCGAATCAAATTTTGCCATTTATTGCTTTTCTGCAATGCCATAGAAGTGATATTCGCTCTGTGTTCATTAGTTACTTCCGCTTAAAAACAGCGCGCTACCAGGATCAGAGGTTGAAAAAATTCATGAGGAGTTTCTAGTAGAATCGAGTTTCTGCCCTTTCCTCGAATAAGTGAGAATGGTAGGGAGAACCTCCGTCGTTGTAAAACTGTGCGGTTCCATTTTTGACGTAAGATAATAATTTCCTAGATTTTCTAGTAGTTACCAAGTTATAAAAGTTGTTCTTAAATCAAGTTATAAAAATCGTTTTTGAGGAATTCTCTCAAGAAATCGTTAAAACATCCTATTGTTGTCAAATGCGAATATCTCCCTAATGATGAATGAAGAAAATGAAGCAAACGAAGTTCAGCAAGTGATCAGTCGCACTCTAAGGAATTCTCGAAAGTAAACATTGCGATCGACATATGCACATGGTGTTCTTTGAAATAAAGGGAGAGTATGGCCAGTGGAAACAAGTGGAAAGGTCAATGTAGCAGGGTGGTAGAAGAAAAAGAAGGCCCGGGAAACATAGGGCTTGTCTAGCCGTGGCTGTACCACAACATGCGTTTCCAAAGCAAAGGCTCCGGCACAACGTTTAAAGCAAACGCGACGATGATCTCACCATGTGGGCATCAATAAATGATTATCCATAAGAAAATAGATGAATAAACATATATTTCTCTTATTTATGAAGCAGTAATTTATTGTGTCGGTTTGTAGGTTTGTGTGTTTGTTGGTTTGTATGTCTGTCCGTCTGCAAATTTTCATGATAATGATAATATTAGTGATGTGGAAAACCCAGCTCTATCATGCATTTCCTTCTAATATTTGAAGCAGTAACTTGGTGGGTAGTTCAATGGGGTAGAGTGAGTACTGTGCAGTGGAATGAGAAATGTGGATTGAAGTGGGTACTTCAAAACTGTGATTTCGGTCAGTACTGAGCATCCTGCTTCGTAGGTCTATACAAAAATCGGAGGTGATATTGTAGTCAAGAAACCTCCGCTCTATTTAAACACTGTGGACCGCAGACAAGGAGATTGTGCTCAGCGACGTTTCCTAGCCAAGGACATAAAGGTGACCCACAGAAGTGTGACGCAGAAAACTAGCATCAAAATTACCCAGATCAAAGCAAATAGGAAACATTTACTCCCATACAATCATCACAAAATTGTAAACAATATATCACATTTCGCATGCAGAATGACCATCTTTCGCTTTAATGCTAGCATCCAACCTCTTTCGGAAGTTTTCAAGAATGCGCGCAATCACTTTCATCCCACGCCTCTACGAGAGAACTTTTTTCAGAGGGTGTTTGAAAGCGCA